CAGACATGACGGGGGGAGATCCAAGAAGAAAGCCGACGACTGAAAAAGACAAGACTCTTTGGGAAAAGGCTACTATAATTCCACCAAAAGCTGGTGAAAGCAGCAGAATGACGAGAAGAAGCAAGCAAGCAAGCATGTAATATGATTTTTAATGCACTTGGGAACCTGATCCAACCACATCCAAACAAAGAATGAAGAGCGGCAGAGACTGCCTGCCTAACCTTGGGAATTATAAACAAACAGATAAATGGACTTGGGAAATTGGCGGGGATTGGGAAATGGCAGGGGGCCTGGCCTGACCGTGGGAAGGGCTGCAACTGCAACCTGCCTGCCAGCAGCTGCAGGCTGCGCGTGCGGGGTCTTGCCTGCTTTTGCGCGTGATCCTATATATTCAACTCCGTCCGCCGCAGGTCTGCTTAGTACTTACCGACCAGTACCACCACCCAAACCAATTGTAATTTTTAGGGTTAATACCTTATTTTGGTCTGAACTATTACCATATAATCAACTTTGGTTTGTGGTTTCAGAAATTAACATCATGGCCTCAACTATGCATCATATAGACTCAATTGGCCCGGCACATAGTTTGACCGTCAATTTGGACGGTCAACGGAGTTGACCGTTAGTCAACATGCCATGTCATTGCCTAATCAGCATAAAAATCATTAAAAAATTCAAATTCAAATTATTTTCCTAATTTATATTATTTATCATTTTCCAATTAACCAAAAAAAAAAATTCTAAAAATATAAAATAATTTTTTTGGGATATTTGAAAATGATAAATTTTATAAATTAACCAAAATTATCAAATTAAATTTTATAAATTTAAAAATTATGATATAAATTATATTTTTTGGGAAGTTTTAAAAACATAAAATAATTTGATACTTTTTGGTTAATTTATAAAATTTATCATTTTCAAATTATCCAAAAAATATATTTATTTATGTTTTTTATAATTTATTTTTGGTTAATTTGATAATAAATGATTTTTTGAATGATTTTTAGGCTGACTAGGCAATGACATGGCGTGTTGACTAACGGTCAACGGAGTTGACCGTCCAAATTGACGGTCAAACTATGTGTCGGGCCAATTGAGTATATATGCTGCATAGTTGAGGCCAGGATGTTAATTTCTGAAACCACGGGCCAAAGTTGATTATATGGTCATAGTTCGGGCCAAAATAAGGTATTAACCCTAATTTTTAAAACCGGTTTATGTGTGTAAAAATTGTAAACCGGCAACACAGACAGCGATGCATCTTGTGGTTTAGGTGTTTTGCTTTTGCAAGGTTTTGACGCTATCAGTCCGATTCTTCATTTGGGCGAAGGGTGAATCGATTCAATTGTAATCTATTCAAATAATAATCTGAGATCCAAATAAACTAGATGATTCGACTTATTCGTGTCCTATTTTAAATCGGATAGGAAGGATGACCAAGGTGAGCGTGCCAAGAAGATGCGGATGTGAGGATTGTCACCAAGGCCATTCGAACATTCTCCACCTCTCGAGGAAGCTCGTAGACATCACCGTTATTTTCCCCCTTGACAGATGCGCCCCCGTGCGAAGATCCTTCACAAGAAAATGAGTGGCAAATAATTCCATAGAGAACTCAATAAAGAATGTGAACCAATAGAAACAGTAGAAGATCCAATATGAGATATAGCCAAACTTGTTCCATCACTAACAAGGATCTCATCTAGGCCTGTATAATCCGAATAAAGAGAGAGTTTGCCCAGATCCGGAGTTACATGATGGGATGCTGCTGAATCCATAAGCCAAGGCCCAGATCATGAAGAAGAGCCCATGGAGGTGGTATGATAAACTTGCCTTTGACGGGCCTGATTAAAGGCCTGGCGGGCCTGAGGAAACAGACGAAAACATTGTCTCACTGTATGCCCTTTCTTTTCACAAAATTGACAAATAACTGGCCCTTTTCGTGGTGAGGGAGAGTGGGCGCTGGGGTATCCAGTTTGGCCAAGCAAGGCGACTAGGTCGCGGGATGGAGAGAGGGCGCTGAGGTCGCCGCCACTAAAATCATGCGACAACTGATAACGTGGGGAAGGACGGGAAAAGGCTCTGCCACCTCCTCTGCTAGTGTTGCCGCCGCCACTGCGACGGGGCTGCCCATGGGAATAAAACGCGGTTGGTACCGCAACATCTCGATTTTGAGCTTTCAGGTCGGTCTCGAACTCAATAAGGGAGCTGATGAGCTCTTCAATGGTGACCACCGTACCACGACGCAAATGGATGCAGCAAATTGATTATACTCTGCCCCAAGACCACAAAGTCAATACGCAACAAGATACAAATCCTTGACCGGGTCATCAATGAGGGCAAGTTCAGCAGCAATGAGCTTCAAATCATTGGCATATGAGATAACATCACGATTGTCTTTGTTAGTGCCAACCAATTTCCCTTTCAAATGGATAATACGAAACTGGGAACGACCGCCATACAACTTCTCCATGACCAGCCTTGCTTCTCGAGATGTGGTAGCGGCAGAAATATACGAATAGAGAGATTCAGAGATTGAGCATAGAAGAGCATGGAGAATCAACTTATCTTGACGATACCAGCGGCGATACGCGGGATTGGGCTGAGTGGTGTTGTTTGTTGTGAGCATTTGAGCAGGGGCATCACCTGTTCCATCAATGAAGGCTATGAGGTCCAATACCATCAGCAACGTCTCCAATTGCGATCCCCAGGAATGGAAATTGGTCGAGGTCAGTTTCAGATGCAATTGTGCCACTGAATTAAAGGTAATGATCGAATCTTCTGTAGGGATTGCAGAGCCATCTGAAACTGATGAGCCGGACATGATGAAAAACAGAGGAATAAAAAACAGAGGTAATGGGAGAGGAGAATAGTAAGAATGAAGTTGGATCGGAACTAGTTGATCGTGACTTGCTCTTATACCATGTGAGAGTTTTTGGAATAGAAGTTTGTTGTAGAAAATTGACTTGATTTACATTGATGGAAGCCAATGTTCATATACAGAGAAGAAGAGAATTTTAGCAACCGAAAGCTACGCACTATTTCACGTTCCACAAGAGTAGGAACTGAAAAATGAATAAATGAAATAAATAAAAAAGCTTTTATGTATTTTCTCTAATACAGATATCCTTACAGGTGAGAATGAGATGGAGGTCCACCCAAATTGACGCACTAAAACCACATATCATTTTTTTTTTTACAAAAGATAATCGTATATTGATTCAACAGAGGCAGAACGTTACATCCTGGAATATAGCCAGACCTGAAAATTAAAAATACGACACGTAGACAGGTACAAAGAAAGGGCCTTTCTAGCCACCATATGGGCTACCCTATTGTTATTCCGTCCTACAAATCGTAAGCTAAAGCCCGAGTGAGATGCAAGAAACTGCCTAATTTCCCTCAAAATCATCCCAACCCTACTATCTCTAGTATCCTCGTGATTGATCTTGTCGATGATGACCTTGGCATCGCCTTCAAATCTCACATCCAGGAATCCATTGGTCACACACCAGGAAAAAGCTTCCTTGAGGACGAGGGTTTCCACAACAAGAAGATCATCAATAGAGTGAAACTGGAACCCCTGAGCGAAAAGGACGTCCCTATGAGGGCCAAGAAGAACTATCCCGCCCGCCTTATGAGACCCAGGCAAATTGAAATAAATTTCAAGTCATACATATGTCAACTTCTTCCTCCTTTGCTTTCTCACTGTCATTTCCCTAGAACTCTAACGGGTCGGTGACTACTAAGGAGGTATTACAGAAGTGGCGGCTGCCAAGAATCGAACCCAATACCTCATGTGCACAATTCTGGGCATTTACCGCCTCCACCACCCCTTGGTGGTCAATGCCATAATATTTTCTTCAATAGCCCTTGATTATATTACCGATTACTCTTCTAATGGTAACCATTTGTATGTGGAAGGCCAACAAAAATATGGTCGGTTGTGTGATAAAATAATATTCTTTCATATTAATAATGTGGGTTAATTGTATGTTTGATCACTGAGATTACAAAAAACGTTCATGTTTGGTCACTCGAAATATTTAAATTCAATCTTGGTCACTCGAATTACAAAAAATGTTCATATTTAATATTCTACTATTTCCAACTCATTTTCACAATAAAGTAAAATAAATAAAACGAAAAATATTATGATTACAAATTGAAAAAGGGTGCTTACTCCCCGCTACTATATCGCTTCCCTACAACCAAACCAGCTCCCAAAATACATTATTGAAGAGAAATGGTTACTAGAACAAGCTTGTTATATGTAAATGCAGTGAAGTATAACAGTCAACTTTGAGGGTTGACTGTCACATCAGATAAATTTAACGGAGTTGGACGGAGAGTGACTAAACCTGAACCATTTAACTAATTTAAGTGACCAAGATTGAATTTAAATATTTCCAATGACCAAATATAAATATTTTTTGTAATCTCAGTTACCACAGTCATTTTGCCAATAATACGGCAACAATACATTGGCGATTCTACTATTTCCTTTCTTGACTTTTAATCTTTGTCGTGTACTGTTCAATCATAACATGTAAAATTAACACATGTCTGCTTCGCCAACATTTTAATACAATTCATCCACAAAAGAGAAAACAATTTCGATACGTTTTACCCTTTCTAGATGAGTGGACAAAACAACACAATTGTATTTTTCTATCCGGACCTCACTCTTAAGATAACCCTCAAATTTAGACCTTTCAACGAAAGTGATAATGACACCAAATGATAATCAAAACACGTTAGCACCAAACAAGAAAACACGAAAGGTTCCTGTCCACAAAAGATAACACGAAAGATAATACTTGATTAGTGGTCACATCAGGCATGATTAGGCGAGGTTTATTACTTCATTTACTGGGATCACCGCTTGTTTAGGTGCTAATTATATTTTATTTAAATCCATGAATTATTTACAAATTACAACATAGGGACAGCTCTGGCCTGGGCCAATCCAGCCCAAATCCAGCTAAGGCCCAGTCAGCCTAACCGCGTCGCCTCAACGAGTCAAACTTTGACGACGACGACGAGGACGAGTCGTTTCCAACAATAACGGCGTCAGCGTCACACCAGGGATCCGCTGCGGCCTCAGATTCCGTCACGCTACCTACTACCGGGGCCTTTTTTCTCATATCTGCCACCGTCAATTCACGCCTAACGTCATCCTCTTCCTTGACGTACACCTTCTCCAAAAACCCGGCGGCGTTGACGCCGACGATATTCCCGAGCATCGGCCGCCACTCCGCCAGTATCTGCGGGATCCGGCACCCGACCCGACTGTCCCACACCCTCAGCAGGTTCCCCGCCATGTTCGTCTCCGCCGACACTATCACCGCCGGCGACATCGCCGACGCCGAAACCGCCGCCCCGGGGAAGAGCATCTCGCTCCCTGCCCCGAAAATGGACCGCAGGTTCGGCTCCCCGTCCAGTCCCAGCCCCAAGTTGTCCCAGAGCTTGACCACGCTGCTCGTCGTCCCGTTAGCGAATTCCGGCCACGAGAAAAAATCCCCAATGCTGCTGCTCCGCCGCCGGAGCCGCCGCGCGAACTTTGACGAACCCCGCACACTAAAATCTTCATCGCCGTCAGAATGTACCTCTTCCTCTTCAAAATCCTCATCAGTTTCTTCTTCTTCTTCGTCTGAGAACTCTGATTCGGACCCAGATTCAGATTCCGTGTCGTAATCGGACTCTTCCTGGATAAGCAGAGCCGCCGCCGTAGAAATTGGGCGACTCTGCCGGAACCGAATCAGGAGGATTCTGATTCGGCTGACGATTGTGGTGATGGAGGCGACTAACAAGGCGACCATTAGGGCGCCCCATTTCCAAACACTGTAGGCCTGATAAATTCTCTCGATCCCGGAAGCAGCAAAAGCTCGAGCGACTACAGATGGGTTTATCCCACCGCCTTCGAAGTCGCTTATTCTATTAATCACCGGAACCTCCATGGGTTTTTTCCCCGTCAACGGCGGCAGAGGAGGGAAGTGGTGGACTGATGATTGATTCTCCGAACTGGGGGTTGTAGAGGCTTGGATTGAATTGACAGGGTTTAGGGGAAGGAAATTAAAAGGGGGGAAACAGAAGAAAGGGGTGGGGGAGAAATGTGAAGAAACAGAGCAGAGGTTTCTTGTTGTTCTTATGCTGGTTGTTGCTTGCTGGAAAGCTAAACAGAGGAGGGGGAAATGTTAGGCTGGAAAAGACGGGGATTTAAAGGGAGATAAGGGGCAGTTGTGTAATTTGATCGCGGATTTGACTAAAGGAAGGAAATAAAGGAACCGTCGAAAAGGGTGAGCGGGTGGGGTTCGGCGACGGGGAAGTTCAATATTACAGTTCAGTCGCTTCATTAAATGTTGGTTAACGTTTTAACCCACGGCGACCCTTTTCCTGTCTGAATAGAGGACAAACGGTTATTCTAGAGGGTTACTATTTGCCGCCCGAGCAATTACTATTTGCTGTCCGTAAAAAACACTAAAAGGACAATTTTGCCCTCCAAATATTTCTTTATATTCTATTCGCTGAAATGGTTTTTTAAACAACTTACACACTACCCGAGTCCCGACCACCAACCCCCCACAAACACCACAGCCACCGGACGGCAGCCAAACTCGCCGGCCACCGGACCAATCTCGTCAGGATAATTCGCCGGGCACTGGACGGCAGCCGTACCCCGTCGTCGGACCAGCGAAGCAGGTAAACCTCTTGCTGATCCTGAATTTTTTGTTCGGTCCGCTCGCCGGCGTCGGACGGGGTCCGACGCCGGCGAGCGACGACCGGTTGCATAACAGTGTTGTATTTTTTTCTATTTTATTTCTAGAGCTAATAATTTATAATTTATTGCTTTTATTTCTATTTTACATAGTTAAATTCCTTTGTAGTTTGAATTAAGCGAATCGTATTTTGTTGTAGCGCTAATTAGTTTCTTACTGTCAAATTATCGTTATTTTGTAGAGTTAATTAAATTATTGCATGTAGTTTAATTTTGTAGAGTCAATTGAAGCACAATTAGTTTAATTAAGCGATTGTGTTTTGTTGTAGCGCTAATTAGTTTATTGTGTTTAGATATAATTCGTAGAGCTAAAGATGTTTAATAATTTATATTAAAATAATTTTCTTATCGTCAAATTATCATTATTTTTTAGAGTTAATTAAATTATTGCATTTAGTTTAATTTTGTAGAGTCAATTAAAGCACAAATAGTTTAATTAAGTGATTGTGTTTTGTTGTAGCGCAAATTAGTTTTATTGTGTTTAGATTTAAATCGTAGAGCTAATTTGGTTTAATAATTTATATTTAAATTATCTGTATTTTTTAGACTTAATTAAATTATTGCATTTAGTTTAATTTTGTAGAATCATATAATTTGTACATTTCTAACGAGAGTCAAAATCATAATTGCAGGTGGACATGGCTGACAATGTTGAACTAATTGGTGATTACACAGACCATTTTCTCAATGGTGTCCGATATGCCAATTTCGAAGATGCTGTAACAGTGACCAAAAACATCGCGATGTCTCTTGGTTTCTTTCTAACTAAGGGATCGATGAAGCCACGTGAGTTGGGCAGCGAAAGATCATTGGGTATCTGTTATATGTATTGCGACAGATGCAGTAGGGAGAGGAAGTCATACAAGCCGGATCCTTCCAAAGAGAGTCGTGGCAATACAAGTTCAAAAGGAGCGGGATGCATGTTCAAGATTAAAATCAAAGAACTACTGGTTAATCCAGATGCTCTTGATGGACCTACATTCTGGGAGATACAAGGAGTCGCGGAGCAAGGAACCGGTTTAAGGCGAGGGTATCACAGTCATGAGAAAATGCTTTATCCCGAGGGCCACAGTCAAATGAATAAATTGAGTCAGGAGGATAAAGAATCTCTTAGGCAGATGAGAGATGCTGGGGTACCTCCGTCGCAACAGAAGCAGGCAATAAACAAGCAGAAGGGTGACAAAGGGCATCACACCCAAAGGCAGATGTATAACCTCGGGTCCAAGTCTAGGAAAGAAGAGATGGGCGAGATGAATGCAGTGCAGTATGCGTTGCTACAAGCTGAACGTGAGAATTATCATACAGAGGTTATGAAGGACGATGACGACGTGCTGACACATCTTTTCTTTGCCCATCCAACTTCCATCCAGATGTTGAAGGCTTGGCCGTACGTGATTCTGATCGACTCAACGTATAAGACCAATGCATATAAATGGCCGTGGGTGGAGGTCGTAGGTGCAACTCCAGTTGGGAAGAATTTCAACATCTGTTGTGCTCTCATGAAGGATGAGACAAAAGAGTCGTATTTGTGGCTGTTGCAGTGCATACAACAATTGCTCCATCCTCGCGAGCCCTCTGTCATCGTCACCGACCACGAAGGTGGACTACTTGCTACGGTTCCTGTGGTCTTCCCCCGCACCCCGCATTTGCTATGTGTTTGGCACATCAACACCAATGTGCAGAAGAAGTGCTTGGAAATATTTGGGAAGAACAGGATGGATTTGGTCAACGAGGCGTACGACCAATATTGGTGTCCTATGCTTTATTCTTGGTCAGAGCAAGGTATGTTGGCCGCGTTTGGCCGCTTTAGGACAAGATGGGGCAATCAAGAACCACGTCTGTTGCAATACATACAGGGAGTGTGGTGGCAACATCGAGAAAAGTGGGTTGTTTGTCATACAAAAAATGTGTTTCATCTAGGAAATACGAGCACAAACAGGGTTGAGTCGTCACATTCCGCTTTGAAGACTTTCCTCCACAACTCGCGGGGATCTATGGACACTGTATGGAAAGGAAACCACCGCTACATTACTAACCAACTCGGGGAGGTTAGGATGATGTTGGAAAACTCTAGACAGAAAACCCTTTCAGCATCCGGTGGTACACCATTCACATTCTTGAGAAGGAAGGTCAGCATGCAGGCAATTATATTAATGAAGGAGGCTGAAGAAGAATTGGGTGCCCGCTTGGAAAAAAATGAGAACTCCCGATGTGCATGTCATTTCTCTGTGACACACGGCTTGAGGTGTGGATGTCAAGTTATGGATGGCAGAGCGCGAGACATAGAGATATATCCCGGGTGATATTCATATATATTGGCGGACACTGTCATATGAGCATCCACCCAATGCTCAGGAGTACGTTCCCCAGGAGGAGGAGGCTAGATCTCACCTTCGGGAGTTGGTTGATGAGGCTGTACGCAGAGGACCAGAGGCAACTAAAAAAGCAGCAAAGAACGTGTTTCGTGGTCTCCACCCGGCGGAGGACAACATTCACGAGCCAAAAGTGAACGAATTTAGAAAGGGGCGCCCAGCCAAAAAATCAACTGGAAGAATGAAAGGGTGGTGGGAAAAGATACTGCGAGGCAATAAGAAAAGCATGAAAAAGAAGTCGGGAAGCACAACGTCGGGGTCTACAAAGTCGACCAGTACCAAGTCCACGGGGACTCAGACAGACGAGTATCCGTCAGACGACCATGCAGCGGAGGAGTGTGATGACCCAGAAGATAACAACAGATACAACTGTCCTGACACAGGTACAATTTAATTTTTTCATAAGTGTAGTTATTTATATTAATATTTTACATCGCATTTGTGCTGATTACCTATTTCCTTCACAGATATCCCTGGAGCCAGCAGCACCCATTCTGATTACCCACACATGGAACACCTTCCTGTCTTCATTCGGCCGCTTGTCATTGCCATCCACGACCCGGCGCCAGACGGTCATTGTGGGTTTCGTGCACTTAGTTTTGCACTATATGGTAGTCAAGAAGGGTTCACAGGGGTGAGGGCACGACTTGCTGAAGAAATGCGTGAGCACGATTGGCGATACGCACCCATCTACGGTCCCGGCATCAATGATGCAATCAGACGCATTGACATCACTACTACAGCACCAACGACTAAACATCATTGGATGATGGGTGTGGATCTATTCGTATTTGCTACACTATTTAATTTGGCGGTTGTCATGTACAGCACTTACCTCTACCCAACTCCACAATCGTACCCATGCACCATTCTGCCAGTGGACAACATACATGGGGAAGCCCACCCTAGAGGAGTCATTGTTGTGCATTTCGTCCAGAATCATTGGATCAGCCTCTCTTTCCCGGCGGACAAGATACCGATGCCCCCTCCACATGCCATGTGGCCAAACGGTCACCAAGAAAGCGTGGATGGATGGGAGACATATTTCGCGCCGTTTTTTCAAATGTGGTTCGATCTTGGGGGTGCGGCGAGTAACTTTCCATCACGCAAAAAGAGGGGTCCAAAGAAATAAACTTGTACTCGTCTTCAGTTTAAATAAATTGTAATGAACGTCTTCAATTTAAATAAATTGTAATGAACGTCTTCAATTTAAATAAATTGTAATGGAGTTTGTTTACGTCACATGGAAGCATGATATAATAAAAACATCCAAAGTACAACATAAACCACATAAGTCATTATCAGATTACACAAATAACATAAGTCATAGTCCCAAAACAACAAATAAGCAACTGAACACCACATAAGTCAACTCGTCTAAAAACAACAAATAACACTCATACATATGACATAATAATCATACAACTACTGTGGAGGTGGTAGAAAATCTGACTTCCTCCTAAACTCGGGCCAAATGTTCCCAACTCCATGACATAAGTCGTAGTACTCGTTGGCGCTAGCCATCCACTCCTCCCTACTACCCTGTGCAGCATCCATCACGGGAGATATCTCAACCCACATCTCGCGTGACAACTGTAATAAAAAACCATACAATTTAAATACATATTAGTTACAAATAATTTAATACAAATAATTTAAAATATAATTGTACTAACCGTATCAGCATCCGAGATGTCCTCAACAGGTCGGCTGTCACTCAGTATATGTGGGTGCGAGTGCCTAATGTACCGCGACATGTAATTCTCAGCAAACTCCCATGGCCTACGTCGTATCGGAGTAGAAAAAACGT